ACCAGTGAGGAGTGTTCTTTGTTTGGCTATTTCCTGTGGGAATTACTGTAGGCAGAGCTTCTGGTGCCCTCTCTGTGGATTGCCGGCTTGCTTGGATCCCCCTTCCCTGCCCCTTTATACCTTGATTTTTTGAGCTGCATGGCTGCTTCTTTGCCTTTTTTTCTGTTGTGCAAGGTGCATGGCTGCTTCTTTGCCTTTTTTCTGTTGTGCTGCTCAGGTTCAGAGGGTCTGTTGTGCTGGGTGGCAGACATTGAACAGATGCTGTCATTTCTCTTTTCTGATGTTTAGGTGCTTTACTGATTTTTTTTAATTGATTGGTGGGTGGGTGAGGAATTATTTTACTCTCCATGTAGGATTAGTAGGTACCTGCAAAGGTCTGATGATGATTTTTCTTTTTCATATATTGTTCCCTCCTTTTAAAGTAGATTTATTTTCTGTAGCCTTGCCTCTGTTTATTTTTTTTAAAATAATGTTAAGGGTTCTTTAGGGCTTTCAGAAAAATAATCCATGAATGGGGAATAGGATTGAGAAACTTGCAAGAGATGGGAGGGTTGGAGGGGGGGGGTGACCGTGTTCTGCCCACTTAATTCTGACTTCAGCCCTACCCATCTATGCCATTCAGTTTCTGAAAGACTGGACCTAAGGGGATTGATTTTCAACAGAATAAAATATGCCCCATCATTAGGAACATATCTATCATATTATTGTGAGTGCACTTTCTGCATTCTGACCACTATCCTAATGCTAGTCCTATCTAGACTAGACCCTGAAACTGACATAAATGTTGGCTTATGTAACATTCAGCCCTGCTCTCACCTGTCCGTCACAGCTGGGCAGTGGAACATCCGCCAATGAAGGGATGGAGGGTGGTGCAGAAGGGGGAGGAGCTGAAATATAAAAGGGGTGTGCGAGGTGTGAGAGGGTTAGATGGAGAGATTGATAGATGGAGAGTTAGTGATGAGCATGTTTGGAGGCCTGTGAGCCAAAATAGTCAGTGAGGAAAAGTCTTTGTGATTCAATGAATGAGAAACAAATAAATAAAACTTGATTATCTACCTGTGATTTACTCATTTATTGGTGGCAGCAGTTGAAGAGGAAGAGTAGTGAGCACTCCTGGAGGCCTGAGTGGATAGAGGCTTCAGAGTGTCCCGCTACAGCTTACCATTAAGCAATCAATTCAATGGGTCTGCAGTCTGATTGAGACTAGCAATGGGATACTGACCTCTATGTTTTAATTATTTTCAAGGCTATATCACACATTGCCCAAAGATATGAAATGAGCATATATATTGCCTGTCCAAGTGTGTGTGTGTTTAGTCGTTTAGTCGTGTCCGACTCTTCGTGACCCCATGGACCAGAGCACGCCAGGCCCTCCTGTCTTC